CAAGTTCTAAAAATGACCAACAGAGGGCGTAACTGCCATCTTAAATTTTAAAATTGCATTTTCTTTAAATTTCGCATAATAAACTTAAACAATTTTTTTCATATTTTTAAAGAGAACCAGTTTATCTATCATTTTCGTAAAAACAAAAACTCAGTTATTTCAAAAACAAAGATGGTGTGGGGCCTTCCATTGTTTTTGCAATAATCTGCTTTAACTTCTTAACCGTTTGACCGATTTTAACAAATTTGGCATGGTTGAAAAGAGCATTCCTTGGGCAATGAGTATCAACCAAAACATAGTTAATTTAGTTGAATCCTTCTTCGCCAGGGGGCTAGTCTTGACACTACGGCCCAAAATCCAAGGTTAGGAACGAGATTTTGAAAAACGGTTTTCCCCTGGCCTCTTTGGATGTTATTTGGCTACTTTTTCATAAAGAAAAAGTCATTCCATTTGATTTTTTTAGGACTTTGGGTCGTAGTGTCAAAACTAGCCCCCTTGCGGAGAAGGATTCAACTAAATTAACTATATTTGCTTCTTGTTGCCCAAGGAATGCTCTTTTCAACGATACCAAATTTGTTACAATCGGTCAAACAGTAAAGTTAAAGCAGGTTATTACAAAAACAGTTGAACGCCCCACGCCATCTTTGTTTTTAAAATAACTGAGTTTTTGTTTTTACGAAAATGATAGATAAACTAGTTCTCTTTAAAAATGTGAAAAAAGAATGTTTAGTTTATTACGCGAAATTTAAAGAAAATGCAATTTTAGAATTTAAGATCGCAGTTACGCCATCTGGTGGTCATTTTTAGAACTTGAAAATATTTTCCAGTGATTCTTCATGACCGATTTACCCAATAATTTTTTTCACCCTAAGTCATACAATGAACGGTTCCTGAGATATGGCCGAGGAACAGTCTTATTGGGTCAACCGGTACGTCAACCATTTCGATATACCGTGCACGAACCTGCTGAGCGCAGGATGGACCAGGAAAAAAAGCAAAAACCCAACAAACTACTCTAAGAGCATAAAAAACGGTGCAGCGCGCCGGAAGCTAAAAAAAATGAGGTAGGAACCAGGGGGCTCTAAGTAACCTGACCTCCCATCTACTGAATTGAGGCTTTGAATATAAAATATAGTTGAGGTACCTACCGAGCCTGCACGGAAGACTGAGACGCACAAGCGACACCGGTCTCATGGCAGCAGTCCCAAGGGAACTAGCTCGAAAAAGGTAAAAACTGGGGCCGTAAAGGATACCAGAACCTTTAGCGAAGCAGCTACAGGCTTCAGAATGGCTTTTATTCAAAGCCTCGATCCTTGACAGAGTCGACTCTTTGTCCATTGGAGCGGTTTCACCCAAAGTCACGAAGTTTCGTCACCGAGAGGGAGCGCTGTTGATCAAATGCGCAGACCCGGTATCGGTGCGGACTGGTTGAGCTCGGAGCTAGCGAGGGCAGCTCCGTGGGAGGGGGTGAAACTTCGATTCGTCTAAGCGAAGAACTTCCCAAAACCAGTGAGGGTACAAACCTGCATCCCGTAGGCTCAAGTAGAACCTGAAAAGGATCGAAAAAAACCCAGCCCCCCCCCCCTCTCTTTTGATAAGGAGTCAGAAAGAAGGGCGGTAATTGACAGAAAACAGTTCCCTTTGTTGAGACCTTTAATTAGAATACCATGAAATATAAAATTAATTTCACCTATAATTTCCCACACAATCTGTGTTCCCTTTTTTTAAGATCGGCACAATACACAATTATTTCTTCCTTCCTTTCTTCGGGTAAACCCCCTCCTTTCCCTACCTTGTTGACTAGATTTCTCATCCTTTACTTGACTCTTGTTAAGCCTTACCAGCAAGAATGGAGGTTCCATTGAACAATTGATTGCAATAAATCAGTGGCGAAAATTCAAGCCTCATTACCTATCTCGTCTCTCCCTGCCACTTTCCTTTTCTTCAGTCTTTTTAATTGCTGCTCATCTCTTCTTCTTTTACCCCCCCCCCATTCTATTTTTCTTTTTCCTGTGTGTATCACCAAAAAATCCTCGTTTCTGTCTTTAGGTTTGCTCTTCGGATACCTTCTGTTTCTCCATTTTTTTTACATTTCATTTGTACTTTTTTCTGTCTATGTTATCTCTCCATCATTTGTCTATCTATTTCTCTCTTCTGTACACTCTTTGTGCCACCACGCATTTCTTTTTGTTTTCCCCTTCCCTTCAGTAATTTGTTTCCACGTTATTGGTTTTTTAATATTCTTCTGTATATTATTGCACTCCTCTGTACTCTCTCCTTCCTTTCTTCTCCTTGTTCCACAGGTCTCCCTCTATACCTACAGCTCGACCGTGTTTCTTGTCCATAACTCTCCCTTCGCCGGTGCGTCTTTTCATTTCTTGTCTTTTAAATTCATCTACTTCTTCCAGTATTTTGGCGCATTTTCCAACTCATGTTGGAAGGCGCTATATAGCCACTTTCTCCGTCCGTCCGAGTATAAACTAAATCGATAGTTTTCAATATATGTATTTGGCTTGTTCTTTTTGCATTCAATGGCTAATAGCTCTGATAACTCAACCAAGAAAAATCTTGACGTTTAATGTACGCATGCGCAATGCCAACTTTTAACATTACGTGACCTTTCGCGAAGTACTGATCAATTCATGGAAAATGCGCTAAAGTTACTCGCTCTTCCTCCCATGTACGTGAATTGCCCGTCGCTATCCCCCTCCATATTTCCGTTTAAAATTCTCCAACTTCTCTTTACTGATCGTTCCAGTAACACTTCTCCCTTTTTGTTTCACTCTTTATCTCTTGATTTTCTATCTTGTGATTCTCTTCCCACCTCTACCCAGTTTCTTTTAATTCCTCTTCTGGCATTCAAATCTCCCCCCACTATGAACCCCTCTCCTACCCTTCATCTACCATATTTTCTGTCCAGCATTCTTTCTCTGTTGGTATATCGCTATCACTCTTCCTCTTTCGTTTCATCCCCCCACTCTCTTATCCCTCTTTATACCTGCTTTTGCTCGTCCCTCTTCGCAAATTGGTTCTTCCATCATTCATTCGGAATCATGTTCTATATTTTCTCCCAATATGCTTTTCTTCTATCCACGATTTCTACCATCATATCCTAAAAACTTCCAGAATTGAACGTCTTTACCCCCGCTACATTTCAGAATATCATTTTCATGTTGCCCTCCATTTTTATTTCGTTTTTCTCTTTTCTTCTGTTATTTGTGCGTGTACCCCCTCCCCCTGTCCCCCTTTATCTTCTCTCTTGCTGTTAGTTTCTCTCTCCCCCGCTCTTTCGTCGTCCGTTCTTCTTCTCTCTGTGTTCACTAATCCTTTGTATTTGGTACTTCATCTATATTCTTCACCTTCTGCCATTAATTTCCTTAATCCCCATCTTACTTTTACCTCTCTAATACCTCTTTGTACCCTGCTTTCTCCATATGTCAACTTGTCATCTATATATGTGCTAGGTGTGTTCAAAAAGTATCGAACCTTTGGTCGGCATATGAAGGTCCGAAACTTTAAAGTAGTCTCCTTGGTGGCGCACAGACTTCTCCTAGCGCTTCCGCCTTTTTTGCAAACACGCCTGAAACGCAGTTCTTGAATTCAGTCAATCAGCAATTCAGTCGCATTCCACACGATGTCGTGACTCAAATCGAGTCCCTTTCATCGGCATTTTCAGCTTGGGAAATAGCCGAAAGTCACACGGGCCATGTCGAGTGAGTAGACAGCATCACGAATCACAGGGGAATCTTGTGTTTGGCTAAGAAAGCCTGAATTTAATGCGCAGAATGGACGGGTGCGTTATCGTGATGGAGCTGCCATGCTTTTGCTGCCCACAGATCCGGTCGTTTGTGTTGCACACCATTACGAAGGCGGCGAAGGACCTCCTGACGGTACTCCTTTGTGATTGTTTGGCCTTGTGGTGAGCACTCATAATGCACCACACTACGGTAATCAAAGAAAACGGTCAACATTACCTTGACATTGCTGCGGACTTGTCCTTATTTGGTCTCGGGGATGTTTCCACTGTGACGTTTCTGGATGTGCTTTTTGAATCTTTCGAATGGTTTCCACTTGGGCAGCAAAATCGCTGCTGAAGTTTTTTTGTCATTTTACGATCGTCTTCACACGTAGACCGACTGCCGGCTACCGAAGCCATCTGAGAGCGTGAAAAAATTCACGACAGCGCACGAATGTCCCCTCCACTACTGCCCCTCTTCATTGGTTTGTGCGGGAAAATTTAACGTTCGATCATTGAGTAATTAATCCTTCACTCAACGGTTCGATTATTTTTGAACACAGTGGTATATCCAGCTCCCCTCTAACTTTCCCTTTCCCATCATAACATCCTCTTCTTTTCCCATGTTAGTTTCGCGATTACTACTTTATTTCTTTCTTCTTTTATTCGGAAAGGTAATTGCTGGTGATTGTCGGTATTGTTTTGGTTGATATTTATATGCTGCATCAAAATTAATATCTGCTATACTTATTATACATTGAAAATTAGGGTATTGAAGCATATAGCGCAACACTATCATTCAATGGCAAAATATGTGGGTTATGAAATGCCCCTTCCTTAGAAAACGCACAATCAGCAACATTTGGTAACCACGTGTATTCTGGTTAAAAATATGTACCTACCTATATTAAAGGCCACGTGTATTATGATCAAAACAGACAAAACATATCAAAATCGTTATTTATGCACCAAGATCATCTGGATATAAAACCACAGGAATTATCTCGGTGGACAAAACATGAATTTGATTAATTTTTTGCAAGCGCGCGTATTTTGACGAAGAAAGGTTTATGGTCGAAATGCTAAAATACTGAAATGTCCAGGAAAATACCGAGGATCCATCGATATTTCGTTACATCGGTTTATAAAGGCAGAATACGATATATTATTCAAAATCAGCCATGTTGGTTGTTGTTACTACCTTATTGACTTTTTGCGATAAAGAGGTCAAGTAAAAAACTCCTTGTTATCAACTGATATATATATCCAAATACTTTTAGTTTTTGTTGGGTTTAAGTCCAGCTTAAAATGAATACGTCCGAAAGGTATATAAAGAACATAGCACTGGCCCAGATGGACGGCAAATACTTTATCGATAAAATAACAAAATTGATAACGTGGAAGGAAGGCTGCCGTATTTTGGACGTCGGCTGTGGACCTGGAAATGTGACAAGCGATTTCCTTCTACCCACTTTACCAAAGTCAGCTAACATAATCGCGATCGACAAGGCGGCCCAGTTTATACGTTACGCGAAGGAGCACTACGCAAAATCACCTCAGGTTGACTTCGTTCAAATGGACATCGTGTTTCCGGATCCAAAGTTGTACCAAACCTTCGACCATGCCATTTCACTCTACTGTTTTCACTTCGTAACCGAACAGGAGTAAGTGACCATTTTATCCTCCCAATGTACCTACCACATTTCGATTTTAGGGTAGCACTAAGGAACATATACAACATGTTAAAACCTGGTGGAGACCTTTTCTTTAGCTGCTTAGTGCACTACAGTCTTTTCGATGTATTCGCCACAATTAGCGAAAGCGAAAAATGGAAGCCTTACGTTGCCGATTATAAATTATGCATGTCTCCTTATCAGCAATCCGAAAATCCAAAAGGTGATTTGGAGAAGATGTTGCTGGCTGCTGGGTTTGATATATCTTTTATTATCGAAGAGCCAAGGAAGTACAATTATCCCATAAACGATATCAAAGGTATGATTCGAATAAAAGGTATATCTCATTTACAACTTCTCTTTATAGAGATATTTCTTTCGATAGATGGTATAAACATATCGCAGGATCTCGAGAATGAATTTCAAATTGACCTTCGGCGTATCGTTAAAAACTTGGGACAGATCGAAATTGAAAATGGCAGTGAATTATATTGTACCAATGGCAAGGTGTTGTTTGGGCATGTTGTTAAACCAAAAAGCGTAATCTAAAAAACCCAAAATTTCACACTGTATAGGTAAATACGAATATGGTTAACTTTCACTAACAGAAGTGTTCTCCGGCGAAATATAAATCATCCACGGTACCAGTGTATTTTATCCATAAAGTATTCGCCACCATTCTGAATCAGTAAGACAGTAAACTAGAAAACTACACTAGTACCTATCTATTGTTTATAGTATAAGAAAAAGTAATAATAAACCCCTGAAAATAATTCAGTAAAAAATTTATTGACTTTTTGAACACCCTATGCAAATGTCAATTGGTCAACAATTTTTTGATAGAAGATAGTAGTTACTTTAGACCTCGAGATTCATATGATGGTACAAAAATCACACCCATCCTATATAATCCTAGCGACACTTTTTTTTGAAAAGCTCACAGTAGTGGTTTATACAGGGTGCCCATGCCCATTATGTATGGTATATATCTCGGTACATAACGACTGTATACAAAATTTTTCTATATGAAAGTTGTTTAACATTTTATTTCCCATAATAAGGCAGCATTCAGTTGTTTTTATTTCAGAAAACAAATGAGTTACGCAAAACAATTGAATTTTTTTTAAATAGCAATGCACACTTTCATTAGGCCCTTTTGCCTTACAAGGTCATGTAATTTTCCATCTTGCTCTTATAACAGAAGGCTTTTATTGCACTGAAGATGAGTCACATCCTGTGTATTTCACCCTTTCTCAGAATCTTGGTATCTTCTTAGTGCTTACCTGACCCATTGCTCCCGAAACCTGTTTTTAACCTATATGTCACCTATCGAAGCGTACGTATTTTGTGAATACTGTTATAATTTTATGTTATGCATTCACATCATTACAAACAATTAATTTTGCTACACAATTTAATATTAATTTGTCGACTGGTTTTTTTCTTGGTAAGTGTCTTTTTTTCCCCAGTTTATTTCTGTTTTTACCCGGTGAACTACTATTTTCAAGGTTTACGTTGCCGACTTGACTTTATTTCCGTTGTAGTGTGAAGTTATAGCGTAGAACCTGGGGGTTAAGTACAGGGTGGTCAACTAAGAAGGCGAGGTACTGTGTCTGAGAATCTATCCATCGCAGAGGCTTGCGGTCAAAACAGTTATTACTAAAACGGCCACGAGCAAAACCTGGAAAATATTTTTAAGTTTCTGAAATGACCCCTCGGGGGTGTACCTGTAATCTGGAATCTAAAGAAGTGATGTTTCTGTGAATTCCGCTATATTAACCTAACAAAAAAATGTCCGGTCTTTGAAGACCATTTTTGTTTGAGAATGTTTCCTGTATCTCTAAAAATGAAGTGGGGGAGGGGGGGGGGTATTCACAGGTTTCCGTAAAGAACACCCTGTATCTTCGAAACGGCTGAGCCGATTTAAACAGACTCCGATTAGTTCAAAAGAGCTATTCTTCAGCTACAAATATTATACTATTTGAAGTTTTGTTAGTTTCACATATCACCGCTTGAGGGCTTTTTTCGACATTCCGACAGAAATGGTTAATTTTCTCAAAAAATACTAATACGGTTGATTGGCTTAAAAAATTATGTCTACAGAAAACCTTACTACATTTTTGCTCTAAAATAATTTGGGGAGCCAATAATCGCATGCTATGAATTTTACATTGAAATCCCTATGATGCGTTACGCAAGTCACCACCCTGTATATATCTCAAGATATCGAGATGCGATTTTCGCAAGCTTGTTTAGGCATCATTTAGCTACTTTTTCATGAAAAAAAAAATCAAACCAACGCATTTAATTTTTTTGAGAAAATTAACCATTTCTGTCGGAATGTCGAAAAAAGATATGTGAAACTAACAAAACTTCAAATATTATAATATTTGTAGCCGAAGAATAACTCTTTTCAATTAACCCGAGTTTGTTAAAATCGGCTCAGCCGTTTCGAAGATACAGGGTGTTCTTTACGGAAACCTTTGAATACCCCCCACTACTCCATTTTTAGAGATACAGGAAAAATTGTTAAACTAAAAAGGTTCAGATTATCGTCGTCTTCAAAGACCAGATATTTTTTGTTAGGTTAATATACTGGAATTCACAGAAAAATCACTTTTTTAGATTCCAGATTGCAGTTACGGCCCCTAGCGGCCATTTCAGAAACTTAAAAATAATTTCCAGGTTTTTCTCGTGACCGTTTTAGTAATAACTTTTTTTACCGCAAGCCTCTACGATGGACAGGTTCCCAGATACAGTACCTCGCTTTCTTATTTGACCACCCTGTACACTACAACTGTATGAATGTCGTAATGCTTGCTATGCTTGTCATATAAGAGGAATGTTTAAAGAATATCGACACTATGATTAACGTGTTTAAGGATTAAACATACAAATAAATTGATTCTAAATCTTGATTTGGGGATCGATACGGCACATGCATTGTTGTTGTTTAGAAGTACGTTCAATAAACAAACGAAGGCGATAAATGATGGAGCATGGTGTTGCTGCTTTTTTGTGGGTAGCGACAACGAAGATTGTTGGTTGATTTAACGACAAACGAGATCATTCAGCTTTGGCGAAGGCGATGCTATTGTTATTAACGAAAGCTTTCACAGCGCTGTGTAAATAAATTCGCTGAAAATGGCATGCTGCTTTTTAACAGACACGCTCCATTATTGTACGAAAACTTCAATTGTTGTTCGGACTAATGAGCAGCTTAATTCTAACTTTGGCAGTCCATGCGCCGCACATAAGTGAGAACATATACAGGCGAAATAGTTATATACAGGGCGTGCTAAGGATAATTTCTTTGAAGGAACTTACAAAGTGTAGGATCCCACCCTGTATTGTATATATCGACAGTACCATGTATGTACCTACTTGTTCGACAAATATCAGAAGCGGTTCACGACGTGGCGATCCTCCACTTCAAACGAGATTAAAAGGAGGGTAGATGTATTCAGCGCATACGGAGAAAAAGAATGGCAGGAAATTCCCGTTTTAGCTGGAAAGAAAATAAGTTTTTATTTGTAAAGGAGGTCTCTTGATTTTGTCTTTCGCGGAAGCAAGTGTAATGTTTTCGATCAGTCTAAATTTTGTGTTTTGTGCAACTTCAGTAATGAAAACAAGCCTCCATTCTTTTGCTAGGAGTTTTTTACATTCTTTTACTTTGCGTGTTCTCGTGTTCGTACTTTTTATGCTTTTGTATTTCGCCTAATTGCTATTCCATAACATGCACATCATGTTTATTGGTGTTGATTACATGGTCTTGACCAGAAATATTCATATAAATTTTGGTCATTCTTTTTAACATGTTGAAATTGCCGATTTGTTTGTGTGTGTACTGAATTGAGTTACGACACCTAATTCCACATTCAACCTGAACTCTGAACGTGGGGCGAGTTACATACCTCGGGGGCGAGATTCTGCTTTCGTTTAGAAGCTATGTGCGATAGATGACTATTTTCCTGGAAGATCATACAGTTCCGATTCTTCGATGTATCATGTTGCTTCCTCATCTTGGGGGGGGGGGCTGCTCTTGTATCTTAACTCTACAGGAAGGGGGGGGGGGGGCTCAAATTAAACTTTCTTCTGTTTCGTATGGGGAATACTGCTTGCATTTTCATTAGTCAGAGAAGAAAACACAAAGTAAACCAAATAAATTTATTAGTAGTAAAAAAACTTTTATGGTACAATTAAACAAATACATATCTATCAAATAGATCACTTTTAAAATATAATTTTATCAATTAATGACTCACTCAAGAAACAACAAGATAAAATTATGTTTCATTTCACTTTAGTGTTGTTGAAATTGCATTTTACGGATGTGTTAACTAGTCTGCTCACGATAGAAGTGACGAAAGATTTTAAGTAATAATTGACTAGTACTTCGTACGTAGTGGTTAACAACACTATTCACTGTGTATGGCAAGACTTATTGTTTGTTATTTAATTTACATCACACAAAAACAATTTTAAAATGGCACCTAAATTGCTATAATAAACGTGAATTTAAAAATGACAACAGCTTTGCTTAAAATCTAAATTTGCACAATTAGTATAAAATCTATGAAATATATAAATTATGATTTGTCATGAAAACATCATGGGTTTTGAATGTCTCGAGGTAATGATCACGATTCGAAAATTTCCTATACTGTACACCTAAATAAATCGTATGTACATAGATCGAGTAAACAGTCTATTCTCTGACATTACAGGATCCGAGCTCTTTCTTAAATTAAAAAAAAAAAACGGCGCCTACAATACGACTAAAAATTAGCATCCCATCCGGAAAGATCATCGGGCGGATGCGAATCGTTGTCGGGGGGATATTGGTCAAAGTTCGATGTGTCCGTGACGTGTTTCACCTGAGGAATTATCGGAGGTATTAATGTTCTATTGCACAGCCCTTCCCAGTTGAAACCGTCGAACCATCTGAAAATATATGCGCTATAATTTTTTGCACAACGTAAGTCTCTCTATCTCCATCTTGTTTTAATTTAATGGCCGCAATACGTCCTCTTGCCGCTTCAAAAATTTAGTTTTGAATTTGTATTTTGTTAAACATAGGAAAATTTACACATACCGCTCATAGCGAACGTGAACAAAAGTATGTCTGGCGATAACAATGTGTACGTTTTCAATGAAAGGGTGCGGTTCGAGATAAGCAAAGAAAGACTGGATTGAAAGAGGGTTTTTCAGAGACTTTTGAAGAATCGACATGTACTATTTGGGTACGTTAAAAATTATATTCGAACTAATTAGTAAGTGATCACGTACACCGTTTGTGCGTTAATTTTTCTACCGTTGAAGATTTATTCTTGATTTTCGCGAACCATCGCATACCATTTTAAATGCGTTGAAATTGAATTCTCAGTGAAGTTATAAAAGCAGATCGGTACCATTTTATGTACAAGAATTTATTTCGCATATGTGTGAATATTTGCGGTAGAAATTCAAGACCTAGAACGTGCATTTATTGAGCAAATCTATCCGAATAGTAGTAAAGAATTAGCAGTTTAACTAACGGGTATAAAAATATATTAAGTAGCGCAAAAGTAGTGGAGAATAAATGAATTACAGTACATTCCGGGGTAAAGAAAAGCTTTTTAGTAATCTGATTCGTAGCAAGGTCGTTAATTTACGAGTGAGATTTACGCGAAGGAACATTTTCGAGTCGGTGAATTGCAAACCGCAAGTAAATAAACTGATATTAAAACTCATCGTGATAAACAGATAGATAACAGTAACGGCAGCTTCTCAAAGTTGAGTGCCAAGACCAAGGTGAAAACAAACGAAGAATTTTTTTAATTTGTATTTTGTTCAGCATAGGAAAGTTTACACATGTACCGCTTCATGGCGAACGTGAACGAAAGTATGTCTGGCGATAACAACGAGATTGTAAGGGGTTTTCGGCAGACGAGATTAGACTTTGTAAGAGTTAGCACGTACTATTTGTGTATGAGAATTTTATTTTCCCATAATTGCGATACTTGTTAAGCTAATCTTCGGAATCGGTCACGTACTATCTTCGCGTAAGTGTAAAGATTCGTGTGAGCTTTCAAGGACTAGAACGGGCATTTTATTGAGTGAAATCGATCTGAATAGTGGTGGAGAATTAGCAGTTTAACTTCGGGCAAAAACATATGACGTGCCGTGACCTCTTAAAATGCAGGTTTGCGGCAACTCTCGCCTACAGCAAAACCCAATTAATAAACGGGCAATTAACACGGCGGAATTATGGCATTTTATTCCATTGCTTAATCACAACTTCGAGTTTTACTGTCGCGAAATTGAAGCCAGTTGGCTTGACAAAACGTATGGACATTTTTGTTTGACATTCATAACGGAGTCAACTGTAACGTTGAAACGGCCAGTTTCCATATCTATGAAGGGATCAGCATTTTTTCCAAGAAGAGATACGATCATTTGTTACCAGAAGAGAATATTGCCTACGTCAATTAATGCAAGTTATTTCAAATTTTTTGGTTTTATAAAGTCGTGGTCGGTTATTTTTAGGAATTAAATTTCTTCGAAGTAATTTCGATATTCCTAAAGGAATCGACCTAAAAAACTTATTAGCATGGAATATTATCATATTAGTCATATTAGAATTTTTGCCAGTGCCACGGAGGAAGGGGGTCAATTTTATTTTATGCAAGTGGGGTCTTCAAACCTTGTAAATGTAACTAGCCCATTACAAGATGATACACAGGTGCAGACGTCATACGGGAAATCGCTTTTTCTGAGGGAACAGAAAAAATCTTATCCTTATCTCAAGCTCTATTTTGGGAAGAGAGAAAGACGGAAAAAAGGAACTATCATATACTCATTTCGATAAACGGGGAACCTAATATTACCATGTGCCAATAATCCTGAACCAACCCGGAGGAACGACGTAACCGCGATGTGCACATAAAATTTGAACTTGCAATATGCAAAATAGGAACTAGACTTTCAAGAAGGGGGTATACGTTACGTACTGCACATTTGCAACAAAATCTGCACGCCTTATATACACACAAAAAGTACTTACTTGTGTTTCTGTATTTCACTAATCCCGCCTTTTTGATAGCCCAACCGTTCGGCGGGATTGTCTCGACACAATTTTTTAATGAGAGCCTGAGCGTTCCTAGTAATGTTTCTAGGAAATTCGATAGCGTCGATGCCCTTCAGAATGATATTGTACGTTTTCATGGGATCAGTGCCGGCGAACGGCGGCGTTCCCGTTAGCAACTCAAACATGAGCACGCCCAGCGACCAATAGTCGGCGCTAATGTCGTGACCTTTGTTTAAGATCACCTCGGGCGCGACGTACTCGGGCGTCCCGCAGAACGTCCACGTTTTACGTCCGGTCTGCAGCTTTTTGGCGAAACCGAAATCTACCAACTTTACGTAACCATTGCCGTCCAACAGCAGGTTCTCAGGTTTTAAATCCCTGTAGATTATATTTCGAGAGTGTAGGTAGTCGAATGCTTCGACGACGCACGCCGTGTAAAATCGCGTTGTCGGATCGTCGAAATGTCCCCGATCGCGCAGGACCGTCCACAGTTCGCCACCGAGACAGCTTTCCAGCAACATGTAGAGGTACTTGCGATCTTTGAACGTTTTAAATAGTTTAACTATAAATGTGCAATTCGCTTCGCCCATTATTTCCTTTTCGGACATTATGTGCTGTTGCTGTCGAGTCTCGACTATTTGCGCTTTCTTCATTTGCTTCAACGCAAAAGCGCGACTAGCGTCACCGTTTATTTGAACCAGCTCTACTCTGCCAAAGCCACCGACGCCCAAAGTGGCAATGATGCGCAGATCGGCAAGGCGAACCTGGTCAAACTCTTCATTTTCCCTAGAAAACGAAATAGTTGTGAGAATGTGAAGTACACTATAAGGTATTAGAGTCACTTACAGCTATCAATCCATAGGTAGGCAAGAAAAAATACTATAAAGATATTGAAGGTTTTGAGTAAAAAGATCAAGAGCTTACCTCTTTCGTTCGACGCCTTCGTCTTTGTATTTCGTTTTGATTTCATCTAGGTTCGATATTAGCTGGTTAAACGTCTCCTGGTCGATAACGAGACAGGAGACACCTTCCGGATCATCACAGATAATATTAGCCGTACGAAGGTCGTCGCTAAAGCAGCACGTTAGTAACTTTCGAAGGGACAGGCGATGGTACACTTACCCTTGGAGGGCCTTCTCGCCGAAGAAATCTCCCTTTCCCAAAGTCCTAATGTACTTCTCCTCGGAAGAATTCGGCTGCTTTATAGTAACTTTTACCCTACCTTTACTGATTATGAAGAACGTATCACCGCGGGCTCCCTGGCGAATAATGTAATCGCCATAAGAGTAAAAGGTTTCCTCTAGGACATCTGATATCTTGATTAGGGTGTCGTCGGAAAGATTCTTGAAAATAGGAACGCTGTAACAAAGCATACAATTAGGAATCATAGAAAATAACAACCTCGTACTCTTTATGCCTTATTTACAAATTTCGTATGAGGATTTATAAACGATCCTCGAGATTTTGTATCGATGTCTGTCAATAGCAATCGGGACATCCTGTATGTAAAATCGTTGAAGTTATTTCATAGGATCTGGTGAATTTTATTTCCAATAGACTTAGAATTAGAAACGTTTGTTGAAATGCCATTTTAATGTTAGTTATTTATTGCAAATATAGTCAGTAATTGTTTAATTCTATTTCTTGTTTAAAATGCATAAATTAGGGAACATGTAATCGAAATTTGATCGTAATACCACAATACCACGTGCGAGATAAGCAACGCATTGGTTATCAATTCGGGCGACGGAGCGGAATTTCACGGGCAGTTGAAGACAGTACTACAGATGCAAAAAAAATGTTGTGAGTATGCACAACACAACTTTTTGATTTGCGCAATTTTATTGAATATAAGTGAAATTAATATAGATACAAAAAATCTGTTGGGCGCATGTGCAATCTAATCTAATAAGATCTCGAGGATCGTTCGGTATTCAGTTGTATCGGATTTTTTGTGTTCATGGTGTCTTCAAGTATGAGGCGCCGTTTGTGTCATAATTAAAACCGGAAATAATGTAGAGAGATTAACAAATATATTAGAGAAATTAACAAATATATAAACTTTTACTCAGAATAATATATATTTTCGAAAATAATATATAAGTATACCACATCAAAAGTGAATATTTTGAAAACTTTATATATTTTTGACCAAACTTTATATATTATTTCGTTCACTGTGGTATAAATTTATAGAAAGAGTGGTTCCACCGGTTCACAGTAGAGGGCGCCACAGTCGTTAGTTTTCCTCCAAATAAAATCTGCAATGAATACTTCGTTGTGGTGTGAACTTGTTTTTTTGGTGCACAGACCGGCGACCACTACACACCAAAAAAACAAGTTCACACCACAAAGAAGCATTCATTGTAGATTCTATTTGGAGGAAAACGACTGCTAGTGGCGCCCTCTACAGTGAACCGGTGGAACCACTCTTTCTATATATTTTTACCGCAGTGAACGAAAAATAGGTATATAGTTTGGGCAAAAATGTATAAAGTTTTCATATTACAAAATATTCACTTTTGATGTGATATACTTATATATTATTTAGGAAAATACATATTATTCTAAGTAAACGTTTATATATTTGTTAATTTGTTTACCTTATTTCCGGTTTTAATTGTGACACAAACTGTATATCATCCATAACGCTCTGACAAATAGAGAAGCGGAGTATGTTATGTACTAAGTGAAAAGAGTTATATTTTTAGTATGTAAATTTAGAGCCCCACAAATGAGGCGTCTCTTTGAAATCTGGATATTGTTAATTTTGGTACTGCGGCGCATTATTTGTATTTATTAGCGCATTTTTTAAGAATACGCTGTCTAAAAGCCCCCCGCCCCTCCCCCCTCCCACGAATTATTTCTTGAGATGCTGTTTTTGAAAGTAAAACGTACATAACTTTTACATACGACAACCAATTGGTTTCAGATTTTGTATACGCATGCCTTTAATGTCAAGTTAAACTTTAGAAAATGGGGAGGAGGGGGGGGGGGTAAACACCCTTATGATATTCTAATGAACGGTCTCATCGAAATAAATCTAATTCTAATTAAAGGTCTCAACGAAAGGAACCGTTTTCTACCAACTACTGTCCTTCTTTCTGTCTTCTTATCAAAGTACGTGGTGGAGGGGGGGGAGGGGAGTGGAACTAGTTTTATCCTTCATGGTACTCTAATGAAAGGAATTAATTTCTACCAACCATAGCCCTCCTCCTCGACCTCTTATCGTGCTCGGGTATATTACCTTATACCTCAAGAACGGATTGTCGGAATAGGGTACTCACAAAGGGCGATTGAGACGTCTGCAAGAAATATATCCATTGGTGAACAAAAGCTATTTTGGTTAAAAAATGCGCTTTATCTGCACAAGAGTTGTGCACAATTTATACCTACTGGTTTAGAATTTGCATGTTTATAGTCCAATCGGCATCGGAACGGATTTTTACCCCTGAATGCTCTTCTCATCAATACCTATCTGCCGTCCATTCCGGGCCGATTCCGTTCGGAATTTTTGGATCAAAGGTAAGGCCGTAATAGTAATTTAATATAATAGCGAGAAGGAAATTACGAAGTACCTTCCATTAGCGAAGTTGAATTGAGACAGAAACAGAAACTGAATTTAGTAGATGGAAAACCGTCGGCCAATCGCGGACAACGTCAAACCTTACGCATCCTAGAGAGAGACTCTGAGATGCTCGCAACCCAATATTATTCATACACTCGAATTTTATGTTGCCTTGAAAAGAATTAAATAATATCCAATAAATCTAATGAATATTAAAACCTTCTGTACGCGTCCGTTAGCGCCTAAATGGTCGAGATTAGAAAAAAATGTATTGAACAAAAGTTTTGTGGTAAACAACCTGTACATATTTTTGGGTATACAGGATGCTCCATAAAAGTCGTTAACATAGGTTTTTTTTAAAGAACTTCCTGTATATTTTTGCATATTTTCATCACTTTATAATAGTATTAGTTGTTTTATATTTTTTGCGCAATGCTAATCGTTTTCTGGATATTAAATTGTTTTATGTAAAGTGACGTTTGGTCCTCCAAAGACATTATTTCTAGGTTATTTTAAAAGGCTATTGTTCTTGCTATTGCATGTAGCCAAGTTAGTCTTGTACACAATGGCTGCAATATCATTAAGGGATTCACGAACCTGGCTAACTTTAAATACATAACACTATCCCTTGTTTTGTTGCCTTTAAGGGGGGGGGGGGGACGCTCCCCCAACACATTATTTACCGAAATGGTGTGTCGCTGAAAGTAAGCTTGCATAACTTTTACATGCGACAACCAATTTGTCTCAGATTATGCATATTTCAGCATGCATCTAGCGCAAAATAAAATTTTGAAAATTAAGGGGGGGGGTAAACATGTTACCTACCCTTCATGGTACTCTAATAAAAGGTCTGAACGGAAGGAATTCATTTCTACCGACCACCTGTTGTGTCCTCGATTCGTTATCGATTATAATTCCTCATATCTCAAGAGCGGAGTGTTGGAGGGTACTTACAAAAGGCGATTGCAACTTCTCGACGAAATATATTGATTGGCGATGTCAAAACTTTAAGAGCGAATATCTCGGCAACGGTTTGTTGGGGAAATAATCCACTGTTACGTAATAGCAATAATTTATTCTCATGATCTTTTGCACTTTGGCAATAGGTGCGTGTGCCGATCAACATTAAAGAATAATTCGAATCACTACCTTACCCAAATTAACTTTGTAATTTGAGATTTGTACTACGACTAAGAAAGTTATTTATGGTTGAAAGTTGGCATGGTGGGGTGGGAGAAGAGCCAGTTTCCTCAATACTCCCCAGGATACGTCAGTGCGTGTGAAAAACCGATGAATGGAAGGAATTAAATTGAATAAATGAAACAAATATAGCAAGGGAGGTCCGGGGATTAATTACGGATGCTTGTACTTGGTGCTTATGTCCCGTACTCGTGGTTGGTGCTCATGCCCGGTACTCGTGGTTGGTGCTCGTGTCTGGTGCTCATGTCGACTTTGTATCTCTTACGGTTTACGACAGCCTCATACTAAACATCGGAAAAAACGCACCCTGTATATAAGTAATTCAATTGGTCCCAACTGTCAAAAGAATCTTAAGAATCAGAAAAATCTCAACAATCCCGTAGATTTGAAGAAACGGAAGAATTCAAAAAGAAGAATTAAAGACAAGAAAACCTAAAAATACCTACTACGATTTTTATGAATATGACGAATTTGAGCAATTTGAAGAATTTTTGAAAAAGTTGAAGTGCAAAAACAAAAGAATCATAAGTCAGAGTAAAAAAAATTGGAAAAACGTATTATATTTATATTTAGAAGAAAAAAAGAAATATTTGCGAACCTGGGGAATTAGAAAAAGGTGCGAAAAATCTGAAATTGACAGGAGAAAAGAATCCTAAAAATTAAATATTTTGAAGAAGCCCGAGGCAAAATCTAAGAATTGGGAACAAAGTGGGGGGGATAACAATTTAAAAAAAAATTGAACAACACTGGAAAATCTAAAAAAAAGTGAAACATTTTGAATTGTAAATTCGAAGAATCGGACGAAAAAATTCAAGGAACCTTAAGAATCTGATGGATCTCTGAAAGAAGTCCAGGGTCCAAAAAACTCGAGGAGACTCCAAATAACCATAAGATGGTTCTTGAAAAAAAAAAGAAATGTAATTTTGGAAAGAGGAGCTTCTTCAAAACGAAACATTTGCCCCGATTCATTTGAAAAAAAAAAGATTGTCTTGGTCCCCTCTTATCACCTGATTTTTTTGGCACAACTAAAATGTAAAACTGTTTAATTCTCCTATATTTGACACCTGCTTCAAATGAGTGCAGTAATCGATCATACAAAATTGATGTACTTAATGATAGGATTGAGTAAACAATATACGACGAATCGCATACGATTTGCAGTAGGGAAATTTTTTAACAGTGAACTAGCATTCGGGCACACGACTTTTAATCCGGCTCATATCCAATAGCACTGATTTTTGAACTCGTAGAAATCGAAGGTTTGACATCGCCGCCTCTTGTTGTTTTGGAGTTATACGAAGAACAGACGGACGATCAAAACCATCACATAAGGAGAATTTCTTTCGAAAAATTCCCCTAAGTAAGAGCCATCAGAGTTTTGTTCTTTAATTAAAATCCGTTGACTTGTTGAATAAAAATTTGGGAGTTATCTATTTAATATTCATCAAACGAATTTGGGTTACAAATAAATTTAAATAAATAAGTCGGTCCAAGTTGAGACAATGACCTCAAAAAGGTCCTCCAGCGCGAAAGTTGAAACTAAATACCCAAATGCAATTTAATATCGAGAGGCATTTTGCAATTTTTTCTT